TGATTAACTATTTTTTTATTGATTCCGGTATTTCAATAAATGCACATGAGAAAAAACAGCCTGGCAGACATATCCAGACACAAACCTTCAAGTACAATGCAGTCTGTAGGCAAATAGGTATCAGCTGTGTCAAAGGCCAAAGTGATTTCAAAATGAGTTTCTTACTGCCTTAAATTGAATGTCACCAGCAAGGGATGGCATGTTCATGAATGTTTTAGCATATATGGTGTGTTTGGTACATACTGTGTAATAGTGTGAGTTCCAGTGTGTTTCTGTTAAAATATTTTTTTATCTGTTGCTATAATCTGTAAACAGTCTATGTTTTACCCTGAGAGCGAATGCAATTGTACTTTCCATCACTAATTTGCATTCAGTGCACATGATGTTTCTCTAAGTTATGCTTCCTGAAAGCATACAAACACCATTGAACACTTCAAGACTATGATGTAACAACAGGAAAGCAAATTAATTGTTTCAGAGGGACCAGCCTCACCCTTTTTGCACAACACATCTCATCTTAAAATCAGCCTTGGCAAATGAGATATCATTAAAATACATGGTGAAATATTTTGAATATTTTTTTAGATTTTTTTATCCCCCTCAAAATAAACTGAATTATCTTTATTTACTTTTTTCTCTATTAGAATTCTGGGAGATCCTTCTCCTTTGCTCTTTTGTTCTTTTACATCCTTCCCCATTTTCTTATACGTCCTTCCCCATTTTCACTACATCGTCCTAACTGCAATTAATCTTCCTTGCAGGATATGCTTGGGGATAATCTTAAAGGCAGCACAAAGAGAGAAATATAGGGGGAATAAAGGAAATGAAACACAATGGGAAAAGAAAAGCATATATAGAGAGAGAGTGAAGGAGGAACAGAAAATGAATAAGAACATAAACAAGTCTCTCACCTCAGTTTCTTCTCCTTCAATCTCATATATAAATATGATGGTTCCTCTCCCCATACAAAACCCCATAGGCAATTTAAAGAAAGTAGGACAAAATGAAATATAGCTGCAATATAAAAACAACACTTCACTCACACAGCAGCCAGCTTGGGCCCTTTTGTGGGTGTACCTGAGCAAGTGAGAAAGGCAGCGCGAGTTTGGGGTAGGTTTGGGTGCAGTGGGACACTAAATAAGTTGCAAGACAGTTAAGTGTGTTATTAAGATTGAATGGGAAGTAGGATTTGAAATGAAATTTTACGGTATAGAAATGGCTGCATAATCTATCACCCTCTTTCTTCCTCATTTTCGCCCTCTGACTAAGATGCCCACACAGAAACAGGAGTACACAGAGGACTCTGACTACCATGTAGTGGAATGCAGCTTTCACACCTCCCTAACCTTTTAGCCCTTAATATACTGCAGCATAAACAGACTAAATCCCTGATAATCTGGGGGACAGCCATGAGAACTCTGTTGGCTTAAAGTATGAGCAAAGTCTGACCCAAATATGGATGCGGGCATTAGGTGGGAATCTGACCTATTAGCAGGGTGATGTCATGAGTGACTGCATGAAGACTACTAAATATGTGAGTGTTTAGCCTTGGAAAAGAGGACATGTCAACCTCAAATTGCACTCAAACATTGCTCTAGAACCTTATTTTGGATTTAGAGGCTTGATTCATCAGAAATAAATGCTGACAGAATTAGAAATTGAAAACGATCCCTCTCCAAATGATGTGAAGTTATTTTCAAATACAAGTAAGACCACAGCAGATTCAGTGTGCTCAAGAAAATAACCATTTTTAAATGCGTTATTTTAGCCTAAACAGCGTTTTTTTTTTACTACATTTGGTCCCAACCTATCTAATTTGACTAATTCTTTATCCATTCCAGACTCAGCTTTACCAAATGAAATTACATCAAAGTTGGACTATTAAACCTGATAGTCAACATCTGTTTCTCGAGGTATCCCAATAACTGAATCCCATTAGATCCCTGTTTTCTACCTACATTTTTCAAAAGCCTCTTTATACTTATTTGTGCTTTCTTTTTTAAAAGGCAGACTTTTTAAAACCTATTAGATAATTTTGATGGACTTCAATAAGCAACAAAAACCACTGTTTCATTTATCATCCTCCTTATTATAACAATAAGGTATGTTTGTTTCATATTAATCAAATGAACTCTTCTGTAAACTGATGTGTCATCAGTTTCATATATAGACTGAAGTACGTAAAGGTCTGCCTTTAAGGTTCAGTACTGACACACACATACACTCAAACACACAAAGCACATATTCAAATAAAGCAGAGACAAACAGAAAAAACATAAACCAATATCCTCCTCTCTGACACCATGATTGGATATTTGCTATCTCTTTACTTCAGGCTTTTACGAAAAAATGAATTAAATTTATTTTTCTTTCTTTTTTTTTTTGCTGTCTTTATTATCTCTTTTTTTAACTGCTGAGCTCTGCCGTCATGACAGCAGACTGACATTAACAGGGGATAACTGAAATTAACTTGTGTGTTTTGGGGGTAACATTTTACTCCACTCCCTATTTTGATGATGTTGGAACGAGAGGCATTTTCCAAAAAGGCTCCTATCAAATGTCTGTTATTTCTTTCTTTAACCACTTAATCCCTGATGGTGTGCAGTTAGAGAATGTGTTGCCTTGAATCCAAAATAAACCACTCTCTTCATCTCGCTTTCTCACTCTACCTTTTCCCATCACTGTGCATCTAACTCTCAGGCTAAGCTGTCCCAAACCCCAAAAAAGAAAAAAGAAATATCTCCCATGGCCCCCTTCCACCAAGATTGATGTACAGTTAAGGTTGAGTTCGAGTTATAAAGAAGTAGACCTGAAAAAGACAACGGAAAAAAGACAAATCCTTATCTTAGGACTGAGGCTAAATTTTCATATGCAAAAAGGATTCAGGCTTCAACACAATATGAAAACGAACATATTGATGGCATTGACAGACACAGAGTGAACTGTCAGTCCGCAGTGCCACTGCATTGCATCAACAAGGCCAGCTTTGTGTATTGTTCATTCATATCCATAAAATAAGTGCAATAAGTGACTTGAATATAAACATGTATACAAAGACATCCAGAAAATTAAAAATCCCTCACTTTAACTCAAAACCCCAAAGACAGATTCCTGCTTTGGCCTCCGAATAAGTGAAACAGGAAAGTGCAGATAGATAACAAAGCCAAAAAAAGGAGAAAAGGCTGCAGACAGAGTAACTACACTGTAGTGTGAGAAATAAACAAGTGGCATACACAGGAAGCAGTATAATGAGTGTCACGTAACAGCTTCTGTTTTCATGGGGGTCTGGAAAGTAAATCTGAGTCCAGTTTAACATTGTAAGACACTGAATTATGACAGTTTCAGGTTACCATCAAAGGGATGGGCCTTATGCATTTTTTCTCAATATAAATGCATGTTTCCATTTCTAAATACTTAATGGGTTACTATTTATTGAATCAGAATGTCTCTGTGACCAGTAGAGTAACAACAACTTCCTCAAACGGAACTCGATCTTTGGCGAACGTAAACAACGTACTTCAGTTTTAGTAGGTTAACATAAAAACATGTTTTAAACCTAAAAAAAAATATGTTGGGAAGATTTTGAAAATATAAACAAAAGGAGAAATTGTAAATCAATGGGAAACAGACTTTTAAGTGAGACTTTTTCATGAGAAGTATTAGAGACCAGAAGAGAAGAGAGCAGATTTAACATTTTTGCACATTTAGGAGTGAAACATTGACCAAGACCAAGGTAAACTACACCATGGTCAGGTCACCAATTCATCACAGGTCCAACAAAGACAAACAACTCACACAACCTACTCTTTCACTCACCCCTCCACCCACCTATTGATCCAACCGTGCACTTTTTGGATACTGAAATCTGGAATCCTTGCAGAGTTGTATTCAATGATATATATGTATATATTTATTAATTCATCAATACATGATAGATTAATATAAGATACATTAATATTGAATATTACTTTAATTAATCATTTCAATGCATGAGATGTTGTTTTTCAGTAGTTTATACAGTGGACTGGGACAGCCCAACACGAGGGTGTACACGCCTCCCTTATCTCAGTACAGCGGTGTCCCCACTCATTCCACACACACACAAACTGACAACTGACAAGGTAAGACAACCTCTAAGTGTTTTTTTCTCGTTTTTATTCAAGTCGTTATGTCAATGCCTGTGTCAGTGTGCCTCCTCTGCGTGTGCGTCGATCCAGCTGCGCGCAGCTTTCCCTCTTTAAGCCCGTGTTTACTCCGTAAAGCGGCTTTTCGAACAGGGCGCATGTCAGAGTCCCGTCAGCTGCATTTTCATAGTCGGCACGGAATCTGTGTTGGCAAATACCTTAAACATTATTTATACGACTACACTCACACACACATTCCCTCAGTGGGTCAGGTCCTCCTGTCTGTTTCCACGTAAAAGCGCACAGAGCAGACTTTGTGCGCGCCCCAGGCTCCAAAATTTAGAGCCATGGGCTTAATAAATGTAATTTACAAGATGAATCTTATTTTATCATTTGAAATGATATAATTATGCATTCACTTTATGACTTTACAATTTAAAACCGATGACGCCACTTGCACAAACACTGATAAAAAAATAAAAAGAATGATATAGAGATTAATCGTGTTCTTTGATCCCTGGCTTCAAGTAATCAAAGGGCATGGTTGCTAGCATATCTTTATTCTAAGCATGAGCCATTTCAACACCGCGTGTGACACTTTGTCCACCTGTATTTATAAATACAGGTAGGTTTCTCACCTAAGTGCATTGCATGCATGAAACCCAACGTATTGGAACCCATTTACTTTGCACTATTCGTAGTAGTATTTCAAGCATTGTCTTATGTAAATACTTAAGTAAAATTCAAATTTGACTGTATAGTTTAGATTGAACCCTGTAGGTTTAGTAATTTTGGTAAATCATCCGGCAAATGTATCTGATTCTACTAAACAACAATCATTTTGTATCATTGAGTATGTATTTTTTCCTCCCCTAGGCTTTTCCATGGCGATAATCTTTCAGTGTATCCATGTGGCTGCTTTTCTTGTACTGCCTCATTTCCTAACTGTATCATTTGCTACACAAGATGGCCTTGTAATCAATACAGCACATGGGAAAGTTCAAGGGAAGTTGCTTTCAGTGGTAGGTGGTGAAGTCAGAGCGTTTCTAGGAATTCCTTTTGGAAAGCCACCCATTGGAAAACTGAGATTCAAAGCTCCAGAACCAGTAGACAGATGGGAGGGTGTGAAAGATTCCACCAAATTCTCAAATTCCTGCTACCAGATGCCTGATACACTGTATCCAGGTAGGATCTTCCCAATTGAATGCAATACATAATGTGCATTAAGATAAACAATGTGGGATTTATTTGCTGTTAGTAATCTCAGTATAATTTATTCATAAACTAGCCATCATTGAGACAACCTATCAATACTGTGTGCTAGTCTGAGGCTATTTAGACATGGCCTACTTCATTGGAAAAAATGAAAGGGTTAAATGTTTCACTGGCTTTATAAGCAGATGTAAACATGACAAGTACATTAATTTTTTATGTGGAAAGGTGAGAGTCACAAAGGACTTTCATAAGGAACTGTCTTGACTTTGTGTGAGTGGGTGGTGTGTTAGTTTTATAACAGTGCAATTCTAACTGGGTAATTCAGTACTGTAAATGGTTGCAAACAATAAACATAAAATATTGTTAAAAATTAAATGAGCAAATTTGCATCAATGGATTGTTAGAATGCAATTTTTGAAAGGCTAAAGTTCCCCTTGACCCAACACATGGACTTGGGCAGGGACAAGTCCATGTGTATCTATATATATATATATAGATACACATATACACATATATACAACTATAAATAGACATCTCTTAGGGAGTGTTGGAAACCACCAATGCTAACCATGTCCAAGATGCCTTGACATACTCCAAATAAAGATAGGACACTACAAATAGATACACTAATAAAACATTGATATTTGATCTGAGGATCAAAGGATTTCCTTGAAAGGAATATAAGTATTTAATTAAATACAGCGTGTGATGAAAGGGCCATTTGTCAAAAATGTTCAGTTGCTTTACTTTAGATTACTTCTGTTTGTTTCTATTGACCAGGAATAGAAGCATCTAATAACTCTGAGTTTCACTGAGTCCTTATAAGTATGATGTTAACATTCTTTCCAGGGTTCAGAGGTGCGGAGATGTGGAATCCAAACACACCTTTAAGTGAAGACTGTCTGTACATAAATGTATGGACCCCTGTTTTCAACAAAACCCGGCCCGCATCACTGGTTCCGGTGCTTGTTTGGATCTATGGTGGGGGCTTTGTTGGAGGAACATCCTCCCTGGACATTTACCATGGCCATTTCCTAAGTAAATCTGAGGGTGTTGTTGTAGTGTCAATGAATTACAGGTAAAAATTAATAAATAAATACAATCTTTGCAGCAAATTGAATACTAAGATCAATAATCAACAGTTATTATGTCCTAGCAAAAGCAAAAGCAAAAGTGCAACGGGCAAATACTGAAATTGGAACACGCCTCCTGGAAGAAAAGGGATCAAATTAATTGCATGAAACATTTTAACATTCTGAATTTGAAAATGGACAGAAAGTTGGAGAGTAAGTTAACAAATTATCTCTTCTGATGTATACTCAAAGCATCTTTTTCCTTGCTGTGCTCATCAATAACAGAGTGGGAGCTTTCGGTTTCCTGTCTCTACCTGACAATAAGTACATCCGTGGAAATGCAGGCCTCCTTGACCAACAATTGGCCCTCAAATGGGTAACCAATAATATTGCTGCATTTGGTGGTGATCCTTCAAAGGTAATTTCTGCTAATATTTTCCAATCCAATATATTGATTGTTCAAATGAAGAAATAAGTAAAGCTGTTGTATTTCAATGTGCTGTTTTGTTCAGGTCACTATATTTGGAGAGAGTGCTGGGGCAGGGTCTGTAGGCTTCCACCTGCTTTCTCCAGGCAGCAAAAATCTTTTTCACAGGGCTGTGATGCAGAGTGGCTCTCCTAATGCACCCTGGGGAACAGTCCGTCTCCAGGAGATATGGGACAGGTTGTGTACTTAATATTTGTAACCTTGAGTCTATAATGAAGTAAAATAGGTTTAAGAAACATAAACTAGTAGGTTAATTAAGTTTTCTACTGAAGAGTGACACTTAAGGTTTAATGTCGCCACCATTGAAGGACTCACTTAAGGTGAGGTTAATACTGTGACTTATCTCAATTAGTTTCTTCCCAGCTAGAAATGGACTATACAAAACTGTGCAGTAAAGCTGAAGCAGTTTGTATGCAAACATGCACTGCTGCTTTGCAGAAGTTGAACAAAACAAATGCAACATACAAAAGGATGCTCCTCGTGAGCCTGGCCTAATGGCTGTTCAAAGAATCTGAGCAGAGGAAAATTTAAGTAAAGTCATTTACTTTATTAAAATAATCTTCCAAAATTTTATGACAGTAACATTGGTGTGGTCATTATTGGAGTACAAAAATAAAAAAATATTTAAAAAAATGTCAGGTGAACAGAAGACACATCAACAAAAACAAAGTGGTATCATTTGCTAAAAAAGAACACTTTGTCCATCCATCACTATCATACTATTGACAAAACGTCTGTATTTAACACATTTACCATAGAAATGCAATACAAAAAAAACTAAATGGGGTGTTTTAACCTACAGAAAGCAGTGTTACCTCTACTACTAAAGTTGTTGCTTGAAATCCTCTATGACCAAAATGATTACTGCTGCCCACTAGCAAATATTCACCCATATTCTAAAGACTCATAAAACATAAATTAAACCAAAATAATTGTAATCATTTTAAAAAGTCATTGCTTAACTGAAACATGGTGATGGAAGCATTGTAATCGTGAGAGCTTGCTTTGGCATCAAGGACAAACACTCATAAATAAAATGCCATTTTTAGGCTGGTCCTCAAACACAAAGTGTTCGTTAAAGCATTGAGCAGATAAGTAGCAACATCTATAATGATTTTCAATATTTTTATGATGGGAAGCACACATCCAACATTGGAATGGCTTCAGGACATGTCTTTCATTATCCTTCTAAAACCCAACTTGAACTGCACAGGATAACTGAAGAAACCTTAGTGTGGTAGTTCACAGACAATCATAGGCAGTCAAAAGAAGATACTTAAATGAGTTTTGGGTAAAATATACTTGAAAATATCACTTTACATACTGGGACATGATTTTAGGTATTTAAGCAAGCAGATTGAAAATGAACACACTTTAAAAATAAATAAAGTTAACAGTACAAAGTGTTCAAAGACAATTTCTGATATGTCCCTTTGTCTTATAGAACCACTGTAGTCTTTACATGGATGTAGTTCCCAAATTATGAATGAATTAGAACACGTTTTTTTTTTTTTGCTAAATGAACCAGATGTGCAGCTTTTCCTCTTTTTCAATTTGTATATCAAACAGAATAATCCCATTCACTCAATTGTGTCTGCTTATCAGCACCACAGCACAGCAAAAAAGTGCTGTGGAATCAAATGAGCAGCTACAATGCTGTTTGAGGACAGCATGTTCTGTGATGCTCGCTCAGTTTTTCACATGAAGATTTTTTAGACTCTGTGACTCTCTCAGTTGCCAGCAAAGGCATTATATAACTTCAGCAACCCATTTTGCCCCCATGATTTGACACAGGACAAGATGCAGCAAGAAGGTTCATTAGTCCTGCCTTTAGAAAGGTTGGATGAAAATGCCTTGATTCAAGAGTTTCGACATATCTCACCAATCTGTACCTTCTACTAGACATTAGTCATCATTCCCTCTTCCAGAAATGTATATTTATTCTCTTTTCTGATGATTCAGGTCCCTAATGTTGGCAAAATTGCTGGGATGCCCCACATCTCATTCAGCTCAACTGGAGTCTTGTCTGCAGCGAGCAAATCCAAAAGAAATTGCAACCAAGCAGTATGATGTCCTCATGCCACCCTCACTCTTAAGTTTACCGTTTATCCCTACTGTTGATGGTGACTTCCTCCCAGCCGATGTCGACGTGAGTGTCTATGCATGTGACCTTTTCTATCATGTTAGCGGGGCATAGGGGAAGTCAGCTTCACATGAAAGTGTGCACCTTTGAGAGAGTTCATTGAATATTAACTCTGTCACACCCAGTGAATGAATTCTAAATTATTACAAATATTGACTGAAAATAATACAGGCTATCAAGATATTTGTTAAACTTAATATCACCAGGTTGTCAGGTGTTTCAGCCATGATTGAACTCTTTGTAAGGCTTCCTCACTTAAAAAAAGTACATTTTGTGTGCCAAAATTCAGCTCAGTCAAATTAATTAACTATTTATTTCACATAAATTACATCAGAGGACATTGTGTCATCTATTGACTAAACGATGACAAACTTGCAGTAACATAGTCTTAAGGTTTTGTAAATGCAGAAGTCACTAAATACATGCATTTTTTTCTTTCTTTTTTCCTCCTGCAGGTGCTGCTAAGTGGCAGTGATCTTCCTAAAAAGGAGCTGATGATAGGTTTAAATAAAGACGAAGGGACCTACTTTCTTGCTTATGGAGCGCCTGGTTTTAACATCACAGGCCAGAGTCTCATCACCAGGAAGGAGTTCCTGGAAGGTGTACAGCTAGAAATGGCTGATGCAAGTGATGTCACCAAAGAAGCAGCCATTTTTCACTACACCGACTGGACAGACCTTGAAAATGGGATGAAAAATCGTGATTTGCTGGGTAGTCTGGTTGGAGACAAACTGTTCGTTTGTCCTGTGCTGGAATTCGCTCACAAGTGAGGAGCTTGCTTTTGTTTTCAAAGTATGGTCGAGCCCTTGAAAATAAATTATTAAAATAATTGAATCAGATTTATTAGGAAGGTGATTTGATAACTCAAAACAGTTTTGTAGGTACCACATCAAATCCATTATTTTTTAACCTATTTATTCTAGTCCAAAGAACTAGAGCATATCCCAGCTGTAGTTGGGCAGGAGGCAGGAACATCCCAACAAATCGGAAGTCCATTACAGGGTCACATAGACAAATTAAGTAAAAGACCAACCATGCCCATTCTCATTTATAGGGTCAATTTAGAGACTCCAATTAATCTAATATCCAGGTTTTTGGGCAGTTGTGTTCTGTACAGTATCTAAATCTTGTCTGAATTACCTATTTCAGTCTAAGGACTTTTCATATATTGTTGAATGTCTCATGAAGTACAATGTAACCTCACAAAGCTGTTAGCAATGGTGAATTTCTTTTTAAAGTGGAATAGGGTGAGACAGGAATGTGCATTAAAGACTAATGAACATTTATTTAGAACTTTTTCTAAGCTATTTGACAAATCACTTCTCAGACATATTTTTCATTTATACAATCCTTTCAGGTACTCACAACGTGCCGGCAAGACATTCCTGTATCTTTTTGATCATCGCTCATCTGTAAATCCGTGGCCGGCATGGATGGGCGTCATGCATGGCTATGAAATAGAGTTCATCTTCGGAATGCCACTTAACGCTTCGCTTGGATACACAAAGTCTGAAGTGAACATGACGAAGAAGTTCATGAAACACTGGGCCAACTTCGCCCATACAGGGTAGGATAATCAGACGGTCCATCCGTGTACATTTGGCCACTCATACTGCTGTTTATCGCCCATGATTTGGATTTCTCGACTCCAGAAATCCAGGAATTGATGGAACTACTTGGCCGATGTTCACTGCTGAGCAGCAGGAGTATGTCACCTTGAACCCAAACCCTCCAGAGCTAAAGAGGATGATGAGAGCTAGAGAGTGTCAGCTCTGGACCAAAGTCGTGCCTCAAATACAGAGGACATCAGGTAGGGCGCAAAACATTTATCTGTTTATGTCCATTACACATATACACGCGTGTACGTTAAATGTCCAAACATGCGAAGATCTCTTTGAAGTAGAGCAGTAGGAGGCCTTGTGTCAGCCTCTGCAAGGAAGGCGTTTTGCCTTATTTAACCATTAAAACAGATTTGTTGCACTGGCCTGCTCTGCTTAACCAAAGTTTGGGAGGTCTGAGTGGGAGGAAGGTCAATTGCTCATCACTTCACACTCACACACAGTGAATAATTCCAACACACCCCCAGATTGATCTTTATCTGCAATCTCAAATAAAACTTATGATGAATATTTTACTAACATCCTGATTAATTTAACACACATTTCCAGCTTTGGTCACGAGTTAAATACACTAATCATCCACAAGAATGTCATGCAACATCAGACTTTCTGTGTTATTGTATTTAATATTAAGATATAAGGTTTTCGGTAATACTAACAGTAACCTTTTCTCCCTCTTTTTTTGCAGATAAGTTGCAATCTTGCTTGAATAGAAGTGGAATGATTCTTCACTTGAATTACTTCATCCTTCTCATGTCATTTGTAATATGGTTAAAGATATTGGTTGAGTGAAGATGCATCATCTCACTTGAGCTAAACTGTTTATGTAACACTGACATTATGTTTGATTTCTCAGAACAATTTCATTTTAATATTTGTGTACCAGGTAAGAATAGAAATCAACCTCACAGTGACCAGTATTTACATGGGAATTATATTGGTAATTGCAAGGCAATATTTAGCAAAGGGGGACTTAAAGTGAGAATTTATGTAATGCTTGTAACAAGTATACATATCCTGTTGGATATGGATATGGAATGTTGTTGAAGGGGGAGGGGTGTGTGTGTGTGTTTGGGTATGAGTGTGTGTGCAGGGGTATATGTGTATTGTATGTAAACACAATTAAACTTGCTTGGACATATTAATCCTCATTTCAGATGTAAATCAAGCTGTTATGTGAAAGCTACACTAATTTGCTTTGGTAAGGACTTTGCCGTGACTTTTTTAAATTCACTGTTGTCACATTGACAAAAGTTAATTCCCAAAACATGTACTGTTATATTTCTTATTATCAGCAAAGATCACCCAATAGTAATTGCATTCTGTGTGTTGGTATATGGTGATAAATTAATGTAATATCATTACAAGAGAGGGAGATAAGTTTATTAAATATTACATGGTGTCACTAAGATTTTGAATTCCATTTTATTCACTGTTTACATTGTTCAGCAACGTGGGGAACATGTCTCTCTTTTAATTTCCATCACAAAGATATATTTAAATCCTAAAAAAGTGGCATGTTGTTGAAAAGAGGACAAAGAGATCCATCCATTATCTATATTGCATATCTTAGTATGGTGAGCTTATTCCAGCTGACACTGGGTGAGAAAAAGGATGAGAGAAGTATTATTTTAGATATCAATCTATTTAGAAGAAATTATTCAATTTATTTCAAATAAAAATGTTGATCTATGTGATTTAAAATAGAATTATGAATCTATTATCTTGTGAGTTTTTAGATGGCCCTTACATTTCTGGCATCCTGAACATCTGAGAATGAATTTAGCTTGGTTTCAAGCTGTTTTTCTGCCTGAACCAAAAGCTGGAAACAATCAGTATGTCTGGTCGCTACAAGTGGCTTTAATCAGACAGCTGTGACTCAGTTGGGTTTTTTTGTTGCTGGCAGGCATGGCCTCCTGTAGATTTCCAACATATTGCAGGAAGGAAAATGTCATTTTCCAGCACGTCACTAATGTCTCAAGACTACCGTAAGCAGTATTGTTATTTATGTCTATTCCTCTTAGTAGATATAGACCCAAGGACACATCAGCACAGAGTCAGACATCTTTATCTGGATTGTTATTTTCTATTTTGTTTTTTTTGAGTGAATGGTTGAAATACTGCTCCACTGACTTGATCCCAGATTGCACTCTTTGCCATATACTTATGAGATTCCTGAATTAACCAAGTTTAGTTTATGAAGTTAACTCAGTCATTAAAATGTTGTTTTTATAAAAGAAATAGGTCTCTCTGATGCTACAAAGTGGATTACCAGCTGTCTTTACTTCGCTTCTAATTAATGAATTACTCACACTGGATATCTACAGGTTAATTTGAACATCTCTGTCCTCGGCTAATCTTTTGTACCATCTTGGAAGCAACCAAGACGGTAGAAAATGAACCATCTGCTGATGAGTGAGATACATGTTAATTTGATTGCTTAATCAAATCTTGAAAATCAACTAATAAATCAATTAATGAAAAATATACTTGTACAATCAGAGCCCTATGTATTAAGGTAAGATTGATTTCTTAGATTTTTCAAACAGGTGCTGATGCAGATCTCAGAGCTGAAACTGAATGTTCTTTCACGGATGAATATCCACAAAATGAAAAGTATGCACAGTCATCAGTTTGCTATGCTATATACACAAATGACAATTTATGGAGACAAGCAACTGCTGTCAACTGAAAAAAAAATGTCACATTCTACTGCGTTCTACAGCATTCTGGTCATAATTTCTTATACAGTCATTCAAGTCAGTAACGGACGGCCTCAACTTTTTCAAATGCTTTCAACAAAAAGGATTTACGGTTTTAAGTTCTCTGAAACGTATATTTTTATGGGTTTTTTGTAGTTACGTAATTTTTATGAGACAACAGGATTTGGTGATGTAGGAATAATTAGGGGTTTGGCTAAAATCCACTTTTCACCGACCCACCACAAGCACCACTACAAATGATCTCATCAAATAAATATCAGAGGTGTTGTCTTGTAAGTCATGTAAAGGTTAAACGCTCGTTGACTATTTGAAAAAATTAAGAAACTTAGGCACTTTGGTCGTATGTGTCAATCTGCAGGTCTACATTTTGGTTCCACATGCCCACAAAGAAGACAATTGTCAAAGAAATTGGAAAAAAATCACACACTAAACATGGAGAAAGGGAGGACGATTAGAAGACCAAACTACAATCAGTGGAAAGGGAAGCTCAGTAGCAATCAGAACATTTAGATTGAGCCATTGTACCATGGACCAGAGTTGTGCTGTCTTTGCTAAAATTAGAATGCCTGAGCTCTGAGAAAGATTTCAGTACTACAGTCCAACTTGACTCAATAGGGTCGAGTTAAGTCTGTTGTGTTTTTTTCACAGCTCAATGGATAGGTCTCACCATCAGCTTCTGCAAAAGCTTCAGCTCAAACAAAATTTACTTAGGATCGTAAAAAACAAACCTTGATGAATATATTTAGACCAGTTTGTTTGTTTAGATTGAAGAAACATTTGCTTAATTCATGACCACATTGATGGTTCACCTTATGAGGCATAGCATATTTGGAGTGAACCTGATCAAGATAGGTTGTGTGAAACCATGGAAAGCAGACCATGTGCCTTAACAGTCTTAGCCAGTGTGAATAACAATGTTTTTAATCATAGCTTCAGGTTTCTATGGACTATCAAGGCTAGATTGTGTCTTAACATTCTCTTTTTAAGGTATTTGCCTGAATGAAAGGAGTAGGATTTTCAGTATCACTTCATCATCTGCTTGGTAGAAGAACATGGTCAAATTGGAAAGCCAGTTTAGATAATAAGAAAAAGGGAGTTCATTATCATCAATCATGATCCTGACAGATATTTACATTGACTTGAACCCAACTAGCTTAGTGCACTTTTAAAGTGAAATAAGACATCAATCTCCAGTAAAAACTGTTAAAATATATAATGAAATGGATTCAATGTATTGTTCATTTCTTAAGAAAAATTAAAATTGACCTAATATGAAAATAGAAAAAACTGAAATGAAAAAACATCAAATGAAAGCTCCACTGGCCTTAATAAAAGCTTCTTACTTTGGGGTTAGTGTTTTTGCACGGGTAAATTAAACTGCTTGCGCGCATCCTCATTTTCATTCATGTGGAGTCAAATACTGCTGTTTGTCAAAGCCTGTGACATCTCATAGATAGACATAAGGTGTCCTTTGCTGTTGACATCTTGATGCACCAGGCATGACACTATAGTGCCAAAGGTAAACAGAGCAAATGTCACTCTGGACTGTTAACTGAATAACAAAGTAACTGCGTCCTTGTAAGGAGGAAAGGCATGAAGTGACTGGCTAGTTTGAAAAAATGTAAACAAGCAACAATTAGATTTTTGTAACTAAACGTACTCCTAGTTAAGGGCTAGGGTTTTTATGCTCTTCCTTACTTAGGGCATTGCTTATTCCTTCATAGATGCTGGTGGGATTTTTAGCCAGAAAACGTGCTGATAAATTCTGCACACCAGCTTTGAGGCACGGACTCCCATGTCAGGCACTGCTAAAGAAAACAAATAGACAGTAATAGAGTTGCAAAATGAGTGAATTTGGCCATGTTGGTCCTTGAAGACGAGACTACTTAAATGTGTGATTTAAAAAAATCACGTCTCTGGTGTGCTGTGATGGTCTCTATTTGGGACAATGATAGAGTACGAAAAAAAATGGGAAAAATTACTACAAAAGGGAACGAAAAATAAATCTATATAAATAACTTTTAGGTAATATCTAAAGGTACAGTAGTTATGTCAAACTTTACTCAACATCTTCAACACAGTAATACATTGCAATGCAGCTATCTTGCCATGACAACATGAATAGGTGGTAGCAAACAAAAGCACAGCCAGTATTTAGTCTATTCTTAAATCAACTTATGAAATAATGAGCTGTTTTCTTTTTTAGCCGCATGCCATTAGAAAGGTCATCAAGTCTGTGGTCCCATTTCAAGCAGGAACCACTCCGGAAAATTCTACAGATGGCTGTAGAAAGTCAACGCGAGTCAGAGAATATCAAGGTGGAGGAAAAGAAAAGTTACTGTTCAGTCACAGGTTGGTGGGAATATGTTTGATACTTCACTCTGTGGCGTTGCAAAGCAACTATGATGTGAAAATGATGTGAGAGCATCTGGTGAATGTGAGGAACGTGGTGACTTTCTCCTTTGGAAGCCTCCAAAGTACCTCTAGTTCCTCGTGAACTGATGACTTATCCACACTTCCTAATGTGCGAGTTAGCTCAGGATATTTCCACAATGTTGCACAGTATATCCGACAGCTTCCATAGCAATTGGAAAAGAGCAGAGTGCTGTCGAGAAAGATAAGGATGGGATTGTGCATGGCCGTTCTGACAGAGGAAGACATGCCACTGATATAAGAGGTCATCAAATGAACGTCCTTCAAGTAAGTTGGATACACTCTTTTGAGAGGAAAAAAAAAAAAAAACACCATCTCAGTGATCTCTTAAATCCAGGGCAAACTCTGAAGGTATTTTCTCGCCATATGAGAGCAATACACAGGTATTTTGTCACATAAACGAGCAATCCAGATAGGAATTTGATGGTTACACCTGACTTCTTCAGCTAAACCTCCGCGCTAGATTCATATTTTAGTGGCTTCTCTGTCCTGGACAACCGTCGAACTCATGATGATAACTGCTTTTTTTTTTCTAAAAGAGAGCTTTATCGATATTTCTTCATCAAAAATATATATTGATAACATTAAAATGCTGAAAAACATTCAATCTCACACACATTTTTTTATATGAGCTATGCTTCAACCAGGTTTCTTGCTGATAGCCATGGCAATAATCTAATTATCTCTACAATCTTTC